TTTGCTGATTAATTATATGGTTTATGCATACGATTGTATCCATAGTTCTCATGAGATTGTCAATGATTAACTTAATTTTGTTTTAATTCATGTAATTAATTCATATTTAAGATAAACATGTTGTTGTGATCTTTAAAAAAAAGAGCTAGCCCAAAATCTTTATAAAATCTTGACAAATATTTAGTAATAATGCTATAATGTTGTTTTTGTTGACATAAATTTAACATTTACAAACCATGTACTATTTTGTTGATATTTGTGAGTATGATTTTATTGACATTTTAATATTTATTATCATGTTTGCGTGTGAATTCTTTATGTATTTTTGCTACTTAGAATATCTTTGACTGAAGAATTTGTAAAGTTGAATGCTAAATTGATGTTGATAGTAGATACCGTAAGGTTGTAAATTACAACTTTAATCTAAGTAATTTGAAATATGTTGTTTTAATGATGTTTTTTCATATGCTTGCAGATAACTCAAGGTTCAAAACTTGCTTTTTGAATTAGGAATATTATTATCATGATCATTTTTTTAGAATTTTAGTTTTTTCATCTAGGTTTAAAGCAACAATTTTGACTTGATTAACATGAGTTTTTTTCAAATAAATGTTTCTTGATCATGAATGCAAGCCTTGATTTTCCTAGTGTTGCGTGTTTTCATTGAGCACATTATATTATCTAAATATTGAATTTGCTAAATTGGTATTTTGAAATGATTTTTTCCTATTTCTTCATATCAATATCAATTAAGAAAAACAAATATTTAATAAAAAAAAATTACAAGTAAAAAATAATAGTGCCAACTGAAGATGAATCAATTTTCAAAATTACATAAAGTTTTGTTGCACATGGGTTATTTTTTTGCATTAATCATTCATTGTCTTCATCACATACATTGTAGTGTTATATATAGTATGTGTAGAACAAGATTGAATCACAACATTATTTGATGTATAATTCATTTATTTATATATCTACATTACATGCATTGTAGTGTTATATATAAGGTATATAGAAAACGGTAAAGTCACAACATTTATCTATGTATAATAGTTATGCCATGATATACATTGTTATTACTTAACTAAATAATACATATGTAAAAGAAGATATGCTTTGTTCATAACATAATTTATGTGAACATAACTTGTTATTTGAAATCTTAAAGTATGGAACATTTAGAGTTATGATAACTATTTTATATATATCGTAGACTTGATGGACTAAAGAATCATGATTAGTTTGGTATAAACTTATACATGAATTCAACCCCATCAGCTTGCATATCATGATAAATGTTCATGACTTTCAATTGTTAGAATCATTTACTTGATGGATTCCCATCAAAACCTAAATTGCTTGATAGTACCCTTTACGTTTTGTTTTATGGAATGAAACCCTATCCGTTGTACCCGTCATCCATGTTTTAGTATCAACAAATGTACAAGAACTCTTTGCAATGATCAGACTCTTGACGTTGAAAAAATTGGAGGGATTGGAAACCACCATACTAGCATATTGAATGTACTTGCCTATCTTGAAACAAGATCTTGAAATTATGACGTTGCATATCATCAAGCCGCAACGTTTCTAACTACATCGCTGTTTCTTTTAGAAGGTTCTAGGCCACACCACTCGTGATGTTTTTTGAGACCAAATGCAGCAGCAGAGGCAGAAGAAGCTATGCTCCATCTCTGTGTCTCTTAGCACGTACCAATCCACACCACTCGTAATGTTTCTCGAGAGCAAATGTAGTAGCAAAGGAAGGAGAAAATTGGCGCAACATTGCAAACGTGGAATGTTGCAGATTTTCCCAATATAAACAAGCGTTTTAAAACTTTGCGACGGTGTGCTGTATGTGGATCTCATCTAGTAAAACGAAATTTGATGTATCCCATCAAGCTATTTAGGTTCCAATGGGCATGCCTCTCTAAATACGGCACATACGGAACTTGAGTATCAACGTGACGTATTTCGTTTTCAGAAAGTTCTGTATTTCCAAACAAAAAATCTTTGTTGTCTAGGTCTCTCTACAAGAGAAACTCCCGGAGTTCCTCAACTAAAACTTTGTGGTGACGGTTTTTGACAATATCTTTGTTGATCTAGGTGAGTTTACTAGAAAAATATTCATCTAAATTGTTCGTGACAATTTCTTTGTTCATCTCGGTGACTTTACTTGATAAACTAACTGAGTACTAGATTAAAAATTTGCCGCCACACTTGATGAGTTGAACCAAGCAATTTCTAGTATTTTGTTTCCCTGGTTACCTCAATAACTTGTAGCTTTTAAATCAAGTAAAATTATTCAACTAGTTTAAAAATATTAAGATAGTCTTAAATTTTCTTGGAAACAAAAGACATAGATAACATAGTGAACCCAAAACATTACGAAGTCGCTGTTCTCTGTTCACAAAAATCTGTTAGCCGTAAAGTCTGATTCAAGGTTTTAAGAATAGATTTTTTCAAATCATGGAGTTAATCGTAAGATTAGTTTTCTGAACACTTCAACGGTGTATAGAGTGATTTCTTTGTGCTAAAATAGGAAAAGTACATTTAGAGATCAAAGATAACACCCATTCCCCTCGCAAGTGTTTTACATTGTTGAAAAATTCGGCCAAAAACATGAGAGTTTAGGTCAAGTTTCGGCCGAAAACTATCAAGTTCCGTATATTCCGTATTTTTATTTGAAAATTATCCTTATTTGGTTGAAATACGGAACATACAGAATCCGCCCTATAAAGAGAGGCCTTCCAATGGGGTACCATCAAGTAAATAACTCTCAATTGTTGTTTATGTTATATCATGCATACATCTTTAGAACATAATGTGTGACAACAATCATTTTTCAAGTCATATGCTCAATAAAAACTATCTTTATTGAATAATGTCAATATACATATCTAGATAGCTTGTATAACTTGATGTATAATTCTTTCTTGAAGCAATATTTGTGTGAATTTTTGTTCACACATGCAATCAAAATTTAAAACACTATTTTCACTAGAAGTGCTGCGTTTTTTAAGGTGTTAATTGACTCTAAACATAGAAGTGTTAAACTCAGCATGGACAAATTCACCTATTATGCAAAACTTATAGATTTCAAAGGTTTCAAGTTCAAATGTTCCAATAAGATTTCAATCTATTTAGAAAACAGATGTGAAGGATTTTCTTTGAAAACTGTCAAGTATGACATCAAAAATGAAGAGAATGGAGTCTTATCCAGCAGTCAATTGGTTACGGTGACAAATCTCGTCAACAAAGTGAAGGAAATAGTTGACTTTCTTTGTGTTAACATTAGGATATCGTGTTTGTATATCTCTTTCACCCTCATTTGAAATCTTGTTTTGATGTCACTCATATTTTTCTACTATGTCTACGATATAGTCTAAATTTGTTCTTGTCTCTTGCTGTGTATGGGTCCCTTTTTGTTTTCCATTCCGAGACCATGGCATCATGGTCTGCGGCTGGGCTGTATCATTGCATGATAAAAAAGCACACGCTGAGAGAATAAAACGTGGCAAGAAGAGGTAACAAAAAAATAATGCAGGACACCGAAGAAGATTGGAGGCACTCAGGGCCTTTAGTGTCGTGCATTAGAAATGGAAATTGCGTTAAAAAACACAGGCCATGAAGAATATTACAACATCCCGAATCGGAAGAAGCACACTTTCATGATGCAAGTATGCATGGTCAGTATTACAAGCAATCATCAGCCTAATAACTGGGTGATGTTTCTAGAAAGATTTACATGCAGTCACCATGTTTGATCGAGGTGAAAGATTGGACATAATGAGGACTTCTCGACCAAATAATATAAGCTGGAATAAGAATCAAACAGACTGTGGTACATTTGAAGAGGTTGACCACCGAGGTCCAGCAACAGAAGAAGCAGGAAAATATCAAAGAATGAGCGTGTTCTCCAACTTCTGTCTACAGCAATCCTGCAGTCAAGGCAGCACCGGGCTGGACAATATCAGCCTGTGCTTTCCAAGGGAACTCATCATGAGATATAGAACGCAAGAGGGGAAACAAGTAAAACGAAATAGGACTACAAACAGAGTCCGGCAACAGCGACCGTGCCATGACAGTAGAGGTGGATCGAGGTGATATAGTTGTCACCTCTTACGACGACATGGGGCTGCGACTAGTGTAGTGTTGGTACAAGTGTCCCTTTGCAGTACCAAAATTACAAAAGAACGAGGGCCGGGGATGGGATATTATACCCATCCTAAGGACAAGTCAGGAATTTCGAAAAGTAAGCTTGCAGCTGCAGAAGGGCAGCGGGGGAGGCCCACTTTATCATCAAAAGTCAAGCCTCTGGAAGCGTTTGTCCATATCGGCAGAGAGGAGTGGGAGGGGAGTGGGGGAGCTGGTTAACTTAGGGTTAGGGGGCGCTGCGAGGACGGGTGAGGAAGGCCGGATGGAAGCCGGGGCCCGGGATCTCAAGGGGATAGTTTCCAGCGCCCTTATCCTCAACGGACACCCTTATTTTGGAAAATGGCAGGGGCGACCGACCTCTCGGGGAATTCCTTGCGGACGTCTCCGTCTCGGCGAGATATACAGATATATGTTTAGAATATTAACGATCAGGTCTTACATAAATAGCGCGCCGCCCTGTTCTGTTACCGAGCATTAATTATTCGATGATCCATTTCTCCGTCGTCGTGCATGATCTAGTCCGTTGAAGGCAGCGAGGGACGACCGTGCGATCCAGGTTTTCCCTCGGAGCGACCGGTATACCCTCGGATGACGAAGATGCGCGTATCGTAGCCGTCGAGCTCTGTGTGGGCTGAGAGCTACGCGGGACGGGCCCCCCGCTGGCCAGGCCGGGTCCGCGAACGCGCAACGGGGCGAGCTGGGCCCGCCCTTGGGTGTTCTTCAAACCCTCGCGCAGGGCCTCGCAGCAGCAGCAGCAGCAACGCCTCGGCCGCCATCGCCATAGCCGCCTCTTTCTGAAACTCTTCTGCGCCCCCCCCGCCCCCTCCCTTCCCCCACCCCCTTCCCTCCTCTTCTCTTCTTCCCTGCGCCACAACATCGTAGAGCTCCTCTTTTGCCCTCCGCCTGCTGCATTCTGCGGTTCAGTAAGCCACGAGAGAGCCCGAGGGAGAGGAGAAAGGGATAGTAGTGTGGGTGTGGTTGTCCCTGGTGTCGGAGCGAAAGTAGTTTAAGAGGTGTGTTAATGTAAGCAAGCTCTCGCCTAGTGAATAGCGTTGGTGATCTTAAGCAAGCAAGCGAGCTCTAGCCCAAGAGGGTGAGTGGGGACTCAGTGACGTGATTGAGCTTGGAGCCTGAACAACCAGGATTGTCGAGTGAAGTCCGTGGTGTGGTGGAGACTTGCCTACAATACCCTGCACGCGAGCGGGCACGCAGAGGAGACCGAGGCTTCTCCCCTGAGTTGCTGCTGTCGAGACGCGGCATATCCCCGAAAAGGGTTTAAGATAGTGGTCGATCAGAGAGTCTGCGCGCTCTCTGTCGTAGGTCGTGCACGGGCTGGGAGTGATATCGACTGATTGTCGTTCTCTACGTTGAAGTAGGCAATGGCGGACGATTCGCCGGTAGTGAAGAAGACCGGGAAGGTGAAATGGTTCAATAGCAGTAAAGGGTTTGGTTTCATCACCCCTGATGATGGCGGTGAGGACCTCTTTGTCCACCAAACGTCTATCCATGCTGAGGGATTTAGGTCTTTGAGGGAAGGAGAGAGCGTTGAGTTTACTGTCGAAGTAGGAGAAGACAATCGAACCAAAGCTCTGGATGTCACTGGACCCGGAGGAAGTTACGTCCAAGGTGCTCCTCGTCGAGACGGGTATGGAGGTGGAGGAAGAGGAGGTGGTGGTGGAGGTGGTGGTGGTGGAGGAAATTTCAGCGGAGGAATGGGTAGAGGAAGGGGCCGTGGTGGAAGAGGCGGAGGCAACTTCGCCGGAGGAGGCGGTGGCGGAGATCGGACATGTTACAACTGCGGAGAGCCTGGACACATTGCTCGTAACTGTCCCAGTGAACCTGCTGGCAACGGCAGAGCAGGTGGTGGTGGCGGTGATGGCGGTAATCGCAACTGCTACAACTGTGGCGAGTCAGGGCATCTTGCTCGAGATTGCGCTCCGGCTGCAGCTGCCTAGACGGCGATCCACTTTTTTTGATTTGTGGTCTTCTGGGACCTTTGGTAGTTTTCGGTCGCTGGAAGCCTCGCAGTTTAATCGTCGAAGGTTTTGATGATTTCACTCGATGGGTGTAATTCAACTCAAGACCGCAGAAAGATTGCGCATTCTCTTGCTTCCCAATGCTTTCGGCTGTTGTACCTCTGAAGGCAAAGTCCATCCTCTCTTGAGCTTGTGATGGCTGAATGAGGTGATGTTGCTTAAGCTTCTCAGTTGATTCTTTTTGTGGGGGTGTGAAGTGGACGTCTTGAAGGAGAACTTTCGTTTATCGTGGAGAATCCCGCTGTCGTTTTTCTGTGGACGGGCTGTGTGCAAGTTGTGTTGCCCGTTGTTTACTCCACTCTCAACATCGACGAGCGGCGGGTTAGGGGCGTAGGTGAAAGCAGAAAAGGTCGAGGCCGGTAGATGTCGTGGGAAAGAAAGTGTTTAGGATGGGTTGTTACGTTCTGGAAAGCGTACGAAAGTGACGTGTGGAAACTCTGAGAATGGGTGGCTAGGTCATGGCTCTATTCACCCGTCTCTCTTACTTCATTGCTTCTTTTTAAGGAGCAAGTTTTCACTTCCTCTCCTCTTCGAGGCTATCCTGTGCTTAATTTCCTCCTGAGTGCTGAAGACTCTCCTTCGAGATTTTTTGTAGTATTCCTTGGCAAGTGGTGGGCTTTCGTTTGCTCTACGGGCCCTGTTTTGTCTCCGTGGTTTTGTTTCCTTCTCCGTCTGAAACTTCTTCCTCGACGTAGGCCGGGAGGCTTGGGTCTTATGGAGATGGCGCTTGGTGCAGTGTTGACATCAGCAAGTTGTGGAAGGCCACGATTGGTTGACCTTGCCCTCCTTGGTTTTGTCTTTGTACTTCAATGCCCTCTGCTTAGGAGTGGCATACCCGGGAGACTTGCTATTTCGGTTGAGCTAGTAGCTTTTAGTTTTATTCTTATACTTTCCTTACAGTAGATCTCATTTGGCATTCCGGACGGCATGAAAGCCTGTTCTGTATAGTCACAAAAAATGTCCGCATCTTCTCCAATGCACTTCTACCATTAATTTTCCACAGTATTTCTGTGTCCAATTTTTGTGTACAACATCTGGTCTCACTTCTTGTTGTATCTCGTAAGTGACGTGTTCTTCTCTTTGATGCCGTGAATGATTGTACAATCAACTCTCAATTGTGTTAGAAAGTTCGCAGATCCACCTTGTGCCATATACGACATTGTCGTGCATTGAGATCAGGTTCGATTTTGATCAATTGCCGGTGAACGATGAAGTGCTTCTGCATGTCGAAACACAGTTTGAAGAAGTTGAGCGTTGTTGAGTTGACGAATGTGTTCCTTGTCACGATTAACACAACCTATCCAAGCGCTCATGTAACTGTAAATGGTACTCATGCGTGAGTAGAGTAATCTTTCTATCACACCCGGAACACTTGACAAGTAGGCCAATCGTAGGGCAAGTGGAAAGACCTGTCCATGCAACCAGCCAAGAGCAGACGACCGTTATCTCTTAATCTCTCAAACTTAACGCACAACTTCAAGGAACGTAAATAAAGATGTAAGTTGACACGTGGATTTTCGAGCGGCTACCGTCACATGTCAAGCAATCTTCTGGTATTTGTGTTAAATAGGAAATGAGAGCGGGATGTTGAATCCGAGTGATCAAAACGTGGAAATGAACATTACTAGTGCTGCGAAAAGGAACCGAAGAGGTGTTCTTTCACCTCACAAGCCGGCTGTTTAAACAGTGGCATAGCTACTAGCAAACCCTAGAATTGAGGTATGTCAGGGAATCGATGATTCCTCATGCGGGCAGTAGGGGTGAGGATAATATTCCGTTGCATCCACGACAAATCTCACGGTACGTTCCTGAACAGGCGAAGAGACAAAATAAAACTATCAATGCGCCGTTAATTCTTATCATTCATTGGCTTCGTTCACAACTTCCAGCCTTATCCTTTCTTCTGTCGTCTCGTAGAGGAAGCATATCCCCCATAAGTTACAATCCAAGGTGATTGCAAAGGTGGATAGTGATTCAAAAGGAGATTGGTAAGAACTCTGATACCAGAAGTGAGACGCGAGCAAAACAAAGAAACTTTTGAAATCTTATGCTCCACAAACCGACGTCAGCTCAGATACTGGTCTAATCCTGAGGCTTGTAAGTAACCGCCTAAGGTCAATACCCTCCAAGTAGCAAAGCTTGTCATTTCGATTAAAAACTTACGCTAATACTTGACATGAGTAGAATGTGGCAGATCACCACTCATATGTTTTGTCCACTAGATAGAATTGAAATACAATGAGACGTGGAAACATCTTGAGTATGGTAACCTTTTTCATGAGAGTCAGATGTGTTCAGCAAGTGAAGAATTCCTTGCAAAGTAAGTGTCTCTTCACAATAGATAATATTTAGATAGTTTTATAAAATTTGAATGATTAAAAAATTTTCTACCAATAAAAACTGTTAACACCTATTATTGCAGTTCAATAAATAACACTAGGTAAAAAATATATTTTATGAATAACAACAGTAATAAATCTCATCCATGTCATATATGATTCTTATACATTTTAGCCGATTCATGTACTTTTCATATGTATATTTTGTATTTTCAAAATTCAAGTTTTTATTGATATTTACAACACAATATGTACATCAAATCGATATGATACACTTCTTATATAAAAAGTATGAGATTATGATACTTTGGAGCAATTTTTCACCAACAAACAAAGTAAATTCATTGTAAAACTAACACATTATGTCTCAAAATAAAAAATTTGCACATTCATATCATCATTTAATGTTGGGATGTAATTTGAGTCTTGATATGTTTTTGAAAACTATACCATAGTTATTTAATCCAATATTATAGCATAATAAAAATATATGATTGTAGATCTAAGAAACACCATTACTGTTTCTTATAAATCAACAATATATTGTTCCATGAATGTAATCTCAACTAGACAAACCACACAACTCGTGCTGTACATGTGTGTGTCAACTGTGAGTTTAGTGTCAAGGAATTCCAATTGATGTAAGAGTGTAAGTTGCAATTAGACTATCTTGTTTGGAGCATTTATCTTATTGTTTACACATGTGTCGAAATCTACATTTTTTATTCTTTGTTAAAACCACACTTTGGAGATTATTGTAGAAGATTATTCTAGGATTCACAAATGTATGGATGGATGGAAAAATCTGAGTACAAGAAAGTGAATGCTTTGATTTTTGTTCATTGTGAAAATTAGAATATCAATAATAAAGATTTCAAATTTTGTTGTTAGCTCTCTTAAGGATAACTACTAGATTGTAATACAAACAAATCAATAGAAAAGTAATGAATGATAATTTGTTTAATGATATTTTTACATTGTTAAATAAGCAATAAATTTTCATTTTGTTAGCCAAAAAGATTTAGCAAACAAATTTGCTCATTGAATGATAGATAAATCAATTTTTTTGAATGTATCAAAGTATTGATATCATGTTAGATTATTTGATGTATTAACAATATAACATGCATAATTTTTAATTTATTCCGTGTGACATATGATATGATTGAATTAATGCTAATCATGAGCTATACTTGAAATTGATGATATACATTGAAGTACTTCACAATTTGATACTCTAGAATACATCATGCTTTGATTTCACTTGTGCAACTTTTTCACAAATGCAATAGAATATTTGACATACATAAAAAGATTTTTTTTACTACTATCCTGATTTGTGTGTAAGACAATAGAATTAAATGAGTATTTCATGGGTTTATTGTTTTTTATTCATTCTTCTATCGTAACAAGTGATTTTTTTGGGCAATTTTGTTGAACAAATTATTCAAATAGACAAGTTTAAAATCACAAAACTTTGCTATATATGATGTGGAAATAATACGTTATCATCATGTGTTTTTCAAATTCATATAATTGCTATTGATTGTAAAACAACTTCAAAACTTAAAAATTTAGTTTATATTTATTGTCTAATTCTAATTCTAACTTTCTTTTCTTACTTTACATTTTCAATTTTGTTTAATACTAGATATCACGAGTAATTCACTTGAAAATAAAACATAACATTAAAGATGAAAGATATCTAGAATTATTCTATTCACCTTTCTATGGATCTTGCCAACAAGTATAAAGAGATAAGATTTCAACTTCATCATTCATTCCACTCTTAGTGGATTGATGACATGACGCATAATCCTACTAAGTACACGAATTGTTTACGTGTAGGTAACTAAAACTTCATCACAAGTACCCTCTATTTTAGTTCTAAATACCTAAAGATGGTTACAACTCTACTTACTTTTAAGATGCATAGTTCAAATTTTTGAACTATCAAATGTGCATTAGCTTATTTTCTAACTGATTTTCAAGTTGTTTCATATGATGAATATATTTTGTTTTGAACCACATACTAGATTTTGAAAATTTATGGTCTTGGATTTTTTTGGTTGAGTATATTCTGATGAGATAAGATAACACTCATTGATTTGTGAATTGATTTGATCGTGATATATGTTTGCGCAATCATGACACATGAAATACATAATGTATTTTCATATGTAATGGAAAGTCAAACTTTTACAAAATTTCATCAACACATTTCAATAACACAAAAAAATCAATAAATTTGATGTTAAACTTTGATGATCATATAAGAGACATATTTTTTGTAGATAATCAAACATGATCTACTACCTAAGAAGTCAACTTTCCACAAAGAAAATATGTATACTGCTTTTGCCAATTTTGCGCAATCAATAACTTCTTCTTTGCTTGATATAATCTTATGTGGATATGTTTCACAAAATTGTTGACCGTAGCTATTTAAGTTAACAACTAATTACTTTTGAAAGCTTCATCAAACTTGATGAATTTATGGAATGACCAGCATACATGAGGTAGAAGAAGAACAACTTTTTGGATGCATTTATAGAATTTTTATATGAAAATTTCACAAAAGTCAAAAGAGAACCCCATTCTTGTTGCTCTTCCAATGTGAATAGTAAGAGCATATAATCTTCTCTTTTATTGAATTTCAGAAGATGATAATTTGTTGGCATTCTTAATTTTGTTTTGAAAAAACAAAACAAAATTTTTCAAAACAATTTAGTTAAATGAATATTTGTATGAGTGATCAACACTTTATTTAATCCAAAATTTGCAAAAACTGCATCTAAGTACAGTTGAGGAAGTTGTGGAGCCGTCACTGTTTTCATGGTTGACTTGATGTGAAACATATTGCTCACTTTATTCACAAATATTGCAACTTAATGATTTTCTAGCAAAGTTTTTGGTGACTCATGTACAAAATCCACGATTACATGCCATCATCATTGTTTAAAAACATGAAGAAATTGTGATCAAACGGCTGGTTTCTGATTACTTGCCTTGTTTTGTTGACAATCTACACAACTTTGAACATAAGCTTTCACATTTTCATATAATGTTGTAACCATCTGTAGTTACTTAAAACTAAAGTAGAGGTTACTCAAAATTAAGTAGAGTGGATGATATTTTTAATAGCTGATAATGATCAAAATGGAGCATAATGGTAAAGATTTGATCCCACGAGGACCAAATCAACACCAGAGAATCAATTAGTGTCACGAATTAACATTCTATTGAAGAGTTTTACTTCTCAGACACATGTCATTCCGAGAAGCACTACACTTGCTTAGTCCAAAGGTAGCACATTGTAGGGTGAAATGACACTCAAAACCTGAAATTCATCAAGTAAATTCCCACACAAGCCGCTCACAACTCGACAATTGATATTCAGGGGGTAATTTCCCAAGATTACTCATTGAGCCGGCTGCAACGAGCTTACAATTTACATATTTTCTTAAATCCTAAGCTAGTCATACACTACTCAGAACATCCGAATTGAATACTCTACTTCAGATGCGGTATCTTTGACAAATCGAAGCAACTCGCACACAATGACAAACACTCGATTTCACAAACATGTCAAGGAATGCAGACTGAAAACTGAAAAACTAACTAATGGAAAATGCCGCGGGAGGCAAAGCCTTGGGCATCTTTATTCCTAACTAACTCACAAAGATGTCACTCGCTATACTGCGAGCTCCCAATACCCGCCACGCCAGCTGACACGGCAATTACCATGCCTGTTAAGTTTCTATCTACTTCTATCCTACTTAAAACGGTTGACAGTTCCAATCAAGGTTCTTCTTTGTCTCCTTCAAACCAAAGATGAACAAATTGAGCTTCATATCTAACTGCCGATGCCCTGCTACTCTGCTAGCTGTCAATTCCTTCATTCGTCACTTCATATCCACCACGCGCTTGAATTTCCTCTCAAATCCCTTCAAATCTGAAGTTCTTAGTCTCTCTCCAAAGTCCAAAGTTCCTTCTGTGAATTCTGAAGGTTCATACAAACTCAAACTCAAAGCTCTGAATTGATAACTTCTTCAAAGGGGCTTAGTTGAAACTGAAATTTTGCATGCATGTGCGTCCGGCTGATATTAATAATCCATCAAATTTCAGCTCTAGTTGACACTCTAGCACAAAGATATGGCTATCGCAA